ATATATATATATATATATATATATATATATATATAGCACAATATTTCTAATACAAGGGCACATCATTTAAGATGCCCACTCTTATGCTAGTCTCCAGTATGTATTGCTATTCTGCTCTTGTTGATTATTAAATTATTAATTAACATTCTTCTTTACTCAAACTCTTTTGCGGAGGCTGTTGTCAAGCAAGGCTGCACAAAGGCTTCAGTACTGTTACAGCCTGTTCAGCACAACATGTTACAGGCCTACACGTCCATATGACAGTCAACCCAGGGTGGCTTGTTCTACTCTGTAGCTGTTGGAGTGGGTGTGAACCATTCATTCATCCGTGCGAGAGGAGCAAAACTAGGCCTGCCAGCGATGAGCTCATTCGTTTAGCCAACGGACTCCTCTCAGCAGAACAGATGGGCGATCAGACTGCAAATTTGAGCCAGCAGTCTCTCAATTGTAACAAAGCTAGCCTTGAAACTTAACCATAACAATTCTCCTTTGTTATACAATTTCAAAACTAATGTATAAATGTTTCTGTGTACGTGTTTGATTTACAAATTAAGGAACATTCGCCACGTCTTGGGAACCTAGTGAAACATTTATATTTGGAAAATGATGCTCATCCACTTTAGTAGATCTAACTAACTTTTAAAGTTAGGGCTGTAGGTCCAACTCAAGCACTATCAATTTCAACTGTTTTTCGTGGGCAGATCCAACAGCGAAGCGCATCCAAGTGCCTCTTGTTCCTACCAGTTTTGCACAACCTTGGGGAGCCCGCGCCCACGCCGCCCAGGAGAGCCCTGCTACCTTGACATTCCTGGAAAAGCACTGCGCAAATTTCACAACTACACCTCCATTAAGTTTTTATCCATGCCTGTTGTCTGGTCTTAGCTAAAACTGTCCGATATCTTTGCATTTACAGACTGGAACTGCCCCACAGATCATGCACAGAGTGCATAAAAAACATTTCTGCAAATCTGTGCAATGCAGTCATGATTTGAAATCAATTTAATATTTTACCTAAAAACTATTAAAGTAGCAGCATTGCTATTTAATAAATAGGCCTACAATTTAAAAACCTATTTATATCAACTGAACTTGAAATTCCAATGCCATCGAGTTAATACTTCAACATAAAGCTAATGTAAAAAAATATATATATTCTTGACAGAGAAAAAGATATAGCCTAAATTAAATCTGCAATGCAGAATGATTAAATAATGAATCACCAGCTCATGATTAGAAATGCTTTGACAGATGACAGACTCTGTGTGAACTTGTCTCTATCTGTTAATGCACATCTAAAACTAATTTTAAAAGTTCAGCATAAAAAAAAGAAAAGTGCATGCAACTGGTTTCAAGCAGAAGCAGCACGATAACGAGAGAAGCGGGGCTGGTGCACTGCGCTGTGATTGAATGAACAAATCCAAAGCAAGCGACAAAAGGAAATATAATCACAATTCTCGGAAAAACAACGGCAACAAAGCGTACCATGTTTACAAGTACAAAAGCATCTTACCAAACCATGCCGTATGCGCCTTCTCCGATGTACGAGAGGTTAGTGTAACGTGGCCCGACGTCGAAAGCCTGACCGCGGACCATCTCGGCACCGGATCCGGGGTTCGGGCCGCCGCCAGCAGGGGCAGATACCGCAGCTGTCGCCATTGCTAAGAAACTGAGCTGCCTTTACACACACAACAAACGCGCTTTTCTTACCCAAAGCAGCTTATGAAGCTCAGGAAAAGCTCTTAGGTTGAATAAAACACCGCGGGAGGAAGGATAAGCGACGTGGTTAAACTAAACCGAAGTCTTCGCGTCGGAGTGAAAGGAAAGGGGCGGCTGAAGTGTTGTTGACTGGCATAGATATAGTGATAGTAAGCTGCGCGTGGTGAGACTGACTACAGGCAGCAGCAGTAACGAGCGAAAGTGTTGCCGCAGGAAGTAACGGAGCAGATCACGTGGGTAGGGAGCGGAGAGTGGTTACCATAGAGATAGAAGTTATACTTCAATTCTCAAGAGGGTTAAAGATGCTTTAATTTACGAAGCCAGACGAGGAGAACCTGTTGGTAAATGATGGGTAGGTCCTCTCGGTGGTTGCAGATGATATTGTAAATCTGCTTAGGAAATTATAAACAGATGTATCATGTTTGGGAGAATAATTGTAACAGTTTAACCACTTATAATTGAGCCAAACGGGTGACAGACAGGGTCTTTGTGTACAAAGAATGTATTTACACGACAAAAATCACTTCTGGTTAATCATTTGATTTGTTATCATGTGTTAATGTTAAATGTACACTGAAAAAAATGATGTAGGATTTATAAACAATTTTCATTTTCACTCAGAAACAAATAATTACAAAGTAACGGCAAGTAACGTGATTTTGACGTATATAGGCTGAAACAGTAGGCCTGTTTTCTTGTAAAAGATACTCCAATAATCTTTGTTTTATTTACAGCTTCGAAAAAATAATTTTTACAGTGTACCAGAACTGGTATTATCTGAATCAGCAGGTTCTTTTGTTTATTCTTATATCGGCTACATCATCGTCTTAAAACGTCAATATTAATGTTAAAAAAGCTAGTTTTGTTGGTCTTTTATGATGGTTTACCAGATGAACTTGATGGTAAACTGGTTTGTTGATCATCATCACATGTTTCTCATGTATTCAGCAAACCATATAAAGCTGATTAAGAGAAGCTCAAATATAAAAAAGCTGTACATTTCCTAAATGTCAATTCCAATACCATACTTCAATTTGTGTTATTTCAGTTTTCATGACCACTGTTAACCTAAAGTGTGATAAATATTAATAATAATAATAAACAGTGAGTGTGTGACTTTTGACTGAACCTTTGGTAGTTTGCATTTCAACGGTAGTTTGGGTTATTGAAACTGATGAAAAAGCTGTTATGCACATTTTATTAAAAGATTCAAGTATGGTTACACATAAAAAAGATACAAAACTGTTGCTGGGTCTTTCAAAGGTAGTAATATGTACAATTTAGGTACTATTAAGTATTAATGTGACCCTTTAAGAAATAAAGTAGCTTTTGTAACCTAGCGTACTGCTCCAGTGACAGCTTTGTACCTTTTGTTTTTCCTGAGTGTATGACTTAATATCAAGATATAAAACTCTAAGGATCTTACCTACGTGATTTGAATCTATGGATAATTTCATGATCTTGTGTTCACAAACTCTAGAAATGGGTCATTATAAGCTCATAAATGTGGATATTCTTTGACCGTAAGAGTTCAGTTTTGCTCTGCAACCATTTTGTTGTAACAGTACAATCATGCGTGTACAAATTTTTACTTTGTGCAGCATATTTTCTTCACGTGTGAATCATAAATCAGTCAGACAAATCTTCTCATAAGAAGAGTAAGTAAGTGCCTGTGAAAGGAGACCATGGTAAACTAAAGTGCACAGTTGTGTGGTTTACCACATTAGAGACCGCTAAACTAACACTGTCAACTGTGGCAACCACTAGTGCAGTAACAAATCCAGACACTAAACTGATGTGAAAACTACTTTATTCACATTATATCAGATTAAAGCCCAATGTTTGTGTCACTGGTTCTAAATCCACAAAAGTTGCATAAAATGCTTTCCAAAATTGCAGGAAAATACCACAGGATAGCAATCACATTCAGCTTTTATGTTTATCAGACGCTGGCATAGCCTAAACATTACAACATGAGAGAACATTTAGGTACAAGATTCACTGTAGTACTGTACACTCAGTATGGAATCTGTATTATTTGATCCAGTATAAAACATTACTTGCACACAACATCAGCAGTTGCGGTAAATGATAAGCAAAATTAGGTCTGAAAAGAGTCAGCTCACTTAGGTTTATCAGTTAAGTTGCCTGTACAAAGAGGATTCTGAAAAGTACACAAAGATAAGGCACTTTATCATGTACGGTTGAGAGCTGTTACACAGTGTCCTGTGGAAAAAAACTGCAGGCGAAAAGTGTATAGAAATGCACACCAGCATAAAGTCTACCGATGCATACGTTCATGATCTTTCCTTTCTCCTGGACAAAGACACATCAGTAATTCAGTGCTCGAACCCTTTGAAGATCCAACTTTTCATACTAAGTACAATAAATACATTAGAAGACACAGTCAAGAGCAAAACACATTCTGACTGAACAATGTCATTTGGCACTAGAAATGAAAATTCTGTCATCATTAACTGCTAGATATTCTGAAGAATGTTTTTGGCCATACAATGAAAATCAATGGGGTCCAAAAAACATTTGTTAAATTATCTTCTTTTGTGTTTCACAGAAGAAAGTCATACAGGTTTTGAATAACATGAGGGTGAGTAAAAGATGACAGCATTCACATTATGAGCAAAAATAAGGCATTGCGCATTTAAAATGGAAAAAAACATAACTAACAGCTGTGATGTCACAAAATTCCCATCATTGCCACATCCCATTTCCTAATGAGTTATATGAGATCGTCGCTGATGATGTGCATAGATTTTTGGCTTTTACAGTCATTGGCAATTACAAAAATTAAGTAATGCAGAATTAATTCCATATCTAAAATGGATGAGCAATTTGCTATATTTGTCAATCTAGGGGAAATAACACCATATTTATAATATACAGTGGGATCCAAAAGTCTGAGACCACTAGTGAAAATGCTTCTACATCATGAAGTGCCTTCGTTTTACACTCTTCAAAAAAAATAAAAAATAAAAAAAAGAGATAAATAAAATAAAAATAGAAAAAAAAAGTAAAAATAAAATACATTAAATAAAAAATGTATATATTTGCGCTCAGTAAGATTTTATTTTTTTAAATAAATTAATATTTGTATTCAGCGGTGACGATCAAGTGGCTGTAAAGACTTTTACGATGTTTTCAATATGCACCAAATCAGCATATTAGAATGATTTCTGAAGGATCATGTGACACTGAAGACTGGAGTAATGATGCCAAAAATTCAGCTTTGCATCACAGGAATAAATTACATTTAAAATATATTAAAATATAAAACAGTTATTTAAATTGTAATATTTCACAATATAACAGTTTTTACTGTGTTTTTGATCAAATAAATGCAGCCTTGGTGAGCATAAGAGACTTTCTTTTCGACCCCAAACGAGTGTGTATCTATTTTAAATCCCAGATTTTCAATGGCCTCAGACTTTAAGATGCCACTGTAATAATGTTTTGTGATAAACTTTAAATATACTTTATTACATACATTATAAGATATAAATCTGGACATTTGCACTCTTTTATTAAAATATAGAATGCATTGGACTGAACCAAACGAGACATTTTCCCCATACAAACACCAAATCAACATCTCATCGCTCTGTCTTCACCTTCCTCATTCACTATCCATTAGGTTAGCGATATTCTTGGCCTTATCACATTATAGTGACTGTGCTACTATATCAGCTACTCGTCACGAGGCTTTCAAAAAGATTGAGCGGCCGTAACGTGAGACGGCTTGCAGTATGCAGGACGTGCGGTTTGCAAAGTCTGGCTATGATAAATATAACACCAACACGCACACGCCAGTATTAACACTGATATTTGGGGGAAAAAAAGGCACTGTAACAAAACCAATAAGAAATGATATGCATAAATAAAGGTTTACTGTACATTTTGAAAAACTGCTTTGTGAAAAGCTGCAGCAACAGAGAGACGATCTTGGCAAAGTCAGACTCGTAAATACAGTTTTGGCACATGAAAGAGCGTGTTTACACAGTACAGTACAGCCATAAATACTTTCTTTTTTTCAAATAAATAACAGTCTTAAAAATACTAACCACTACAACACTGGATTAGTACATCTGCTGACAGAGCTGAAGGCCTTCTAGTCAGTTATTTCATTATTGAAGCTGGTGTGGTCCGAAATGCAACGCAATACTGTATATGTTAAGACTATTCACATCAGTTTTCTCTGCACTGTAACAGTCGTATCAAATAGGGAGCGCGTAACCAACAAAGTACGCTCTGAAAAAATATTTGCATTTGCTTTACGCGTGTCTCTAAGGTACTACATTGTTTATGAGATATTAAAGAGATTAAATAAAAATTCTGTCATTAATTACTCACCCCTTTTGTCGTTTCAAACCTGTATGCATTTCTTTTTTTTCTGTTGAACACAGCAGAAGATATTTTGAAGAATGTTGGTAACTAAACAGTTTTGGCATTGACTTCCATTGTATTTTTTGTCCATAGAGTGGACGTCAATGGGAACCGGAATGGTTTGGTTACCAATATTTTTCAACAAACAAAATATCTATTATGTTCCATATTATGTTACACACAAAAAATTAAAGCCATACAGGTTTGGAATGACATGAGGGTGAGTAAATGATGACAGGATTTTAATTTTTCACATAACTATCCCTTTAAGCAACAGTAAATGTATATAAGCTGGTAAAAACAAGGCAAATAGTTAAAAGATGGAAACATGTTGGTTAAAAATGAAGGCAAGTTCAAAGGTAGCAACAAAGAGAGTTAATAAATGACCAAGGATCAGACATTCTTGGAAAAAACAAACGAGGAAACGCCTTTCTTTCACCTGCGTTCGAAGCTTTCTTCTGAATGCATGACTGGACTCGTTTCGGATGACCTCAATTATCGCATATTCTTTTCAAATTCAACAACTCTTTAAAATATCATTCCAGATGATGAACAGACCATCAGATACTCTTGGTCCTCTGATTTGCTTCTATCATGGACAATTTATTCCTATTAACACCTTTCAGATCCCTGTGGCTGCAGCCGTAGCTCCTCCTGGCTCTGCTCTGGAAGTCGTCTCGTAGGTCAAAAGTTGCTGCGGATCTTTGAGGAACACCAAAAGAACTGTGATGTTATCACTGGATCCAGCAGCTTTAGCATGGGTCACCAGAGTCTGGGTCACATCGTCCCCCGAGCCTCCGGCCTCCCTCAGAGCCTCCAGGACCAGCCCCGGGACGTCCCCAGGCCGAACCACGTCAAAGAAGCCGTCACAAGCAAGCAGAATGTAATCTTCATGCCCATTCATCTGGATCGAGGAGCTATCAGCTTTGTTAGAGACGTACGGCTTCTGATCAAAATCACCTATTGAGGGTTATAAAAAATTATATAAAATGTATTTTACGAACTTGCACTCTAAAAAAAATTACAAATTCAGCTGGGTAGAGCTGTGTAATGCATACACACACACACACATGTGTGTGTATATATATAAATATATATATATATATATATACATATATATATTCTGTATTATTAACATTTTATAACAAAAAATTATATATACACAATTATATTACACCGCTCTACCCAGCTAAATTTGTAATTTATATAAATATATACAGTATATATACAGTATGTATATATATGTGTGTGTGTGTGTATATATATATCCGTCACAAGCAAGCAGAATGTAATCTTCATGCCCATTCAGCTGGATCGAGGAGCTATCAGCTTTGTTAGAGACGTACGGCTTCTGATCAAAATCACCTATTGAGGGTTATAAAAAATTATATAAAATGTATTTTACGAACTTGCACTCTAAAAAAAATTACAAATTCAGCTGGGTAGAGCTGTGTAATGCATACACACACACACACATGTGTGTGTATATATATAAATATATATATATATATATATACATATATATATATATACACACATTATTGCATTTAAAACGTTTTCATTATTAGCATAACAATTTGAACTGAAAAATGTACACACATTTCATAATTTCTTAGTATGCACTCAAGCATGCATGAACAAAACATGATGAAACTTTCCAGGTTTAAAAGAAAAAAAGTGAAAACTAAACATTTTATTAAATAACTATATATAATAAATGAGAATTACTCAGATACTCTGTGCTTTGCAAGTATTAGTGGTTGGGACTAAACATGTTTAATCTAGATAGACTTTTAACTATACTTTGCATGGAATAATGCATTGTTGTAATTAACCAATCACACACATTTCTGTTGAGCTTATGGATGCAATGGCCAATCAGAAGCGTTCAGATGAGTCATCGCTGAAATGATGGAGTTATTTCAATGCGCGCACTCGCTGACTGAATTCTGCTCACTCAGGCTGTAGCCTCACCCACATTTGACAATACAATATAAGATAAATATAAAATGTATCTCAATGATTTTCACTATATATCCAGATATTTATGGATTTGTCCTGAATTACTTAATGACTTGTTTTTGTATGTATATTATATGTATGTATGTATATTATATATATATATATATATATATATATATATATACACACACACAGAATATATATAACACCATTGACTCTACCGTTCGACTCCACCGAGCAGGGA